GGCCTTTTGGTGCTGGCGAGCTTTGACAGGAGGTCGGCGCGAGCATTTTGTTCTCGTGGCACGTGCTTTATGGTGAATTCGTCGAAGGACAAGATTTGGTGGGACGTAGTGTGAAAGTACCGCTGCAGTAGGGTGTCTTTTGCCTGGTACATCCCGCTGAGCTGCTCCACCATGAGTTTTGAGTCGCTGTTGCAACTCATCTTTCGAGCTCCGAGGTCGCTAACTAGCCTTAGTCCAGCGAGAAGTGCCTCGTACTCCGCCTGGTTGTTGGTCATTTTGAAGCCAAATTTGAGGGATTGCTCCAGGGTGACTTGGTTTGGTCCTTCCAATATGATGCCTGCACCATCACCCTTAGAGTTGGAGGATCCGTCAACATGTAAAGTCCATACCTGAGGTTCCTCGGTAGAAGTAGGCGTGAGCTCGGCTACGAAGTCGGCCAGGCATTGGGCTTTCAGGGGTCCGTGACTTTCGTACTAGATGCCGAACTCAGATAATTCTACTGACCACGCAATCATCCATCCGGCGAGCTCAAGCTTTCGCAGAATTTTCTTGATGGGATAGTCAGTTTTGACTACCACCTGGTGGCTTTGGAAGTAGGGTCGGAGACGTCGAGCTGCGGTGACAAGTGCTAGTGCTAGCTTCTCGATCATCTGATATCGCTTCTCCGCATCTTGGAGGACTCGGCTGATGAAGTAGATTGGTGTCTGCGCTTTCTGGTGCTCTTGTACTATTACTGCGCTAATAGCGCCTTCTGTTACGGCCAAGTAAAGAAGGAGGTCAGCTTTGTGATCCGGCCTCTGTAAGATCGGTGGGGTTGTGAGGAAGGTTTTGAAGCTTCGAAAAGCTTCTTCGCACTGATCCGTCCACCGGAAATCTTTGGGTTTTCGCAGCAGGGTGAAGATGGGTCCTGCCTTTTCCGCGAGTCTGGGGATAAAACGGGATAATGAGACCAATCGTCCAGTTAGGCGTTGGACCTCTTTCACCGTTTGTGGGCTCTGCATCTGGATGATCGCTTGACACTTCTCAGGGTTGGCCTCAATTCCTCTGCTGGTGATCATGAAACTGAAGAATTTGCCTCCCTGGACGTCGAAGACACATTTCTCCGGGTTGAGGCGCATGTTGTGCTTTCTGACCTGGGCGAATACTTCGGCAAGGTCGGCAGCATGGTCAATCGCCGAGGTAGTCTTGCCTACCATGTCGTCGACGTAAACTTCCATGTTCCTCCCGATCTGTTGGTGGAAAAACTTATCCATCAGTCGCTGGTAGGTTGCGCCTGCATTTTTGAGGCCGAAGGGCATCACCCGATAGCAGTAGTTGGCGTGGTCGGTGATGAAGGATGTATGTACTTCGTCAGGCGGGTACATCATTAACTGATTGTACCCTGAGTAGGCATCGAGGAAACTGAGGAGGGCGTGTCCGGAGGCTCCATCGACCAACCTGTCAATGCTCGGCAAGGGGTATGAGTCCTTGGGGCATGCTTTGTTCAGATCAGTATAGTCGACGCACATACGCCACTTCCCCGAGTTCTTCTTTACCAAGACTACGTTCGCCAGCCATGTGGTGTACCTGACCTCACGGATAAAGCCAACATTCAGTAGTTTCTGTGTTTCGGTGATGATGGCCTCTCGCCTTTCGCCGCCGACCTTCCTTTTCCTCTAGGCGACTGGTTTTGCCTCCTTGTGTATTACTAGCCTGTGGCAGATGAAATCAGCATCTATGCCTGGCATGTCGGCGCTGGACCAGGCGAAGAGGTCAGCGTTTCTGAGGATTTCTGCTTCGAGCTGCTGTCGTAATTCTGGAGTCAATTGTCTGCTGATCTTTGTGGATTGCCCGGGGAGTTCCCCGATCTGGAGGTCGTCAAGCTCGTCGACGGGGCTAGGCCATTCGTCGTGAGAGTTGGATCTTGGATCGAGATCGGCGATTTCTTCGTGATCGGTGTGAGCCACGGTGGGAGGGTCGTTCTTGCACTGTTCACCGAATGAGGTGACTTTCAGGCTTTCGGTGTAGCAATGTCGTGCCGTCTTCTGGTTTGCCTTGACGGAGATGATCTTCCCATCATGCCCTGGGAATTTCATGGTGAGGTGTGGGGTGGACACTACTGCACTGAGTTGGTTCAAAGTCGGCCTCCCGATGATTATGTTGTAGGAGGTGTCGGCTTCCACGAGGAGGTATCGAACCATGACTCGCCTTGTGGCCGGAGGTGCTCCGAAAGTCGTCAGTAGGTCCACTTACCCCCGAGTGTAAACGCTTCTTCCTACAAAACCGACTAGGGGCCCTATGTGAGGTTGTATGAGAGAGTGAGGGACGTCTAACCTGAGGAACGTTGGCCAATATAGGATGTCAGTCGAGCTCCCTTGGTCGATCAGTGTCTTGTGAACCTCCCAATTAGCTAGAGCCACGGCTATGACCATGGGATCTTCCTGGTTGGGATTGACCCCAGCGTAGTCGTCGTCGGTGAAAGTGATCGTCGGCGAGCTCTGGTGCGAAGCTGAGGTGGTGAAGTGTGTGTGGTTGATGTTGCGCAGGTGTTTTTTCTGGGCCGAGCTGCTGGCGCCCCCTCCTGCGAAACCTCCTGCGATCGTACTGATTATTCCCTGTAGGGGAGTTGACCCTGTTTCCTGGCTTTCCTTGGCTCGTATTGCTCCACCGGGTTGGAGTTGAGAGCCGGGGGGATGATCAGAGTGTCGCCGCTAGAGTTGAGCGCAAATCCTCTTGTTTTCTGTGCGTAGAGCCGCTAGGTCAGCCTCATTAGCGGCCCGTACTGCGGCTAGGTTGGTTTCATGCTTGGCACGCATGTCCTGCATATCGGTGTCATGCTATTGTCGCATCAGTTCGACCTGATCAATCAGTCTCCTTATTGCTGCTTTGCTACTCGTGGTAGGTGGACGATCTGGATCGTTTGCCGTGCGTCTACTATGGCTACTGGTGAATACCATGAGCGTGGCCGATAAGAGCTGTCTTGATCGGCCCCACGGTGGGCGCCAAATGTTCTTACCGGAAATCTGTTGTAGAGATGATCCTCCGAGTAAGATTGGTGAGCCTCCTTCGCTGGTACGCTTGATGCTCCAAGATGGGGGTGGTACCTGCAAAAGAGACTCCGATGCTAAAGTTAGTGTTTGTGTGAGTATTAGTCTCGTATATGTAATGCACGTACCTTGGTGTGACTTAGGGTTGTTTTGGGCCTTGGCCTGAGATAAGATGTAATATGATTAGATAACGGACCTCGTCTGGGGCGAGATCCTCGGGAATCAGTTATGATTCACTTAAATGTCGAGCTGATGCCACGCGGTGCGCGTCCGAGGTCGACATGCGTTGTGGTGTCGAGCTCGAAGCTCGGTTACGCAGTATGAATAGTACAGTTCTATTATAAAAGAGATATTAAGATTTATTTACAAGGTTATTTCAAGTATAATGTTATAAAAAAAATAATTAGTTATAGAGTTAATCATTCATACACTACCAATGTAAAATTTTTAAAGTTGTTTATTTTATTATTATTTCATTAAATAAGCAACTGACATGACACTATTAAAAGATATGATTGGTTGCCAGTGTAAAAAAACTTTACACTAACAGTGTATAGGTGATTAACTCTTAGTTATATACAAATAGTCGTCGTCGGTGAAAGTGATCGTCGGCGAGCTCTGGTGCGAAGCTGAGGTGGTGAAGTGTGTGTGGTTGATGTTGCGCAGGTGTTTTTTCTGGGCCGAGCTGCTGGCGCCCCCTCCTGCGAAACCTCCTGCGATCGTACTGATTATTCCCTGTAGGGGAGTTGACCCTGTTTCCTGGCTTTCCTTGGCTCGTATTGCTCCACCGGGTTGGAGTTGAGAGCCGGGGGGATGATCAGAGTGTCGCCGCTAGAGTTGAGCGCAAATCCTCTTGTTTTCTGTGCGTAGAGCCGCTAGGTCAGCCTCATTAGCGGCCCGTACTGCGGCTAGGTTGGTTTCATGCTTGGCACGCATGTCCTGCATATCGGTGTCATGCTATTGTCGCATCAGTTCGACCTGATCAATCAGTCTCCTTATTGCTGCTTTGCTACTCGTGGTAGGTGGACGATCTGGATCGTTTGCCGTGCGTCTACTATGGCTACTGGTGAATACCATGAGCGTGGCCGATAAGAGCTGTCTTGATCGGCCCCACGGTGGGCGCCAAATGTTCTTACCGGAAATCTGTTGTAGAGATGATCCTCCGAGTAAGATTGGTGAGCCTCCTTCGCTGGTACGCTTGATGCTCCAAGATGGGGGTGGTACCTGCAAAAGAGACTCCGATGCTAAAGTTAGTGTTTGTGTGAGTATTAGTCTCGTATATGTAATGCACGTACCTTGGTGTGACTTAGGGTTGTTTTGGGCCTTGGCCTGAGATAAGATGTAATATGATTAGATAACGGACCTCGTCTGGGGCGAGATCCTCGGGAATCAGTTATGATTCACTTAAATGTCGAGCTGATGCCACGCGGTGCGCGTCCGAGGTCGACATGCGTTGTGGTGTCGAGCTCGAAGCTCGGTTACGCAGTATGAATAGTACAGTTCTATTATAAAAGAGATATTAAGATTTATTTACAAGGTTATTTCAAGTATAATGTTATAAAAAAAATAATTAGTTATAGAGTTAATCATTCATACACTACCAATGTAAAATTTTTAAAGTTGTTTATTTTATTATTATTTCATTAAATAAGCAACTGACATGACACTATTAAAAGATATGATTGGTTGCCAGTGTAAAAAAACTTTACACTAACAGTGTATAGGTGATTAACTCTTAGTTATATAAAAAAAAAAAAAAAAAAAAAAAGGTTTTATTTTCTTATAAATTTAGGAATAATAGATCGTCCCAAAAAATGAGTGTTCATAGATTGTAACAAAACATCACAAAAGGAATAATAATACAAAACAAGACATGAATCGAGCAACAAATTATCAAAAAAAAAAAAAAGGAAAGCAACAGAAAAAAAAAATGAAATGGAAAAATAAATGCAAACTTACCATAGTAAAGTGATCTCTGGGCACAAGCTTGGAATCACAACCTCAACAAGGTTAGAAGCTCATAACTAGCGACATGCATGCAAACCAACAAGTATTTGGAACCTAAAACCAAAGTCCATGAATCAATAGAATAAAGGCTGGTAGAAATGTTTTACAAGCATTACCACCAAAATTAAATGTTTCTTCTCCGGCGAACATTCACGCTCACATTCTCCGCCCAATCCCTCCGCCGCTGCCACCACCACCGCCACCCCGTTTCTCCGGTGAACCCCGACCACCTCCTCCGCGTCTGCACCATCCTGTACCAGCAGCAGAACTCGCCCGAGTCACGCCTCGCCTCCAAACTCGCCTCGTGCGAGTTCCAACTCACCCACGAGTTCTTCCTTCAAGTCTGCAACAAGTTCCCCTATTCATGGCGACCCGTTTACCGCTTCTTCCTCTACACGCGCTCCCTCCCTCACTTCAACCACACCCCTATCTCCTTCAACAAAACGCTCCACGTTATAGGCCAATCCCGCAACATCGACCTCTTCTGGGACCTTCTCAACGACATGGCGCGTCGTCGTTTCGTCAATCCAAAGACCTTCCTCATCGCGTTGAGGACTCTTGGGGGCGCCAGGGAGCTTAAAAAGTGTGTGGAGTTTTTCCACTTGATGAATTCCAATGGGTGTGAGTACAATTTAGGGACTTTGAACATGGTGGTTGAGGCAATGTGTAAGTCCAAGCTTGTTGATGAGGCAAAGTTTGTTGCTTTCAAGCTGAGGGAGTGTGTTAGGCTTGATGGGGTCACTTATAAGCACTTGGTGAAGGGTTTTTGTGAAAAGGGTGATTTGGTTGAGGCTTCCAAGATTTGGAACTTGATGGAGGATGAGGGGTTTCAGCCTCATGTTGAGGCTGTTGAGGCAATGATGGAGACTTTCTTCAAGGTAAATCAGTATGGCGAGGCTTTGAGGCTCTTTGAGACTATGAGGTTCAAGAGGATGGATGAGCTTGGGGGTTCCACTTATGGGTTGGTGATTAGGTGGTTGTGCAAGAAGGGGATGATGTCCCACGCTCGTGAGGTGTTTGATGAAATGCGCGAGAGGGGTGTTCGAGTTGAGAATTCGATTTTGGGGGATGTTGTGTATGGACTTTTGGTGAGGCGGAGAGTTAGAGAGGCTTACGGGGTTGTTGAGGGGATTGCTGTGCCGGATTTGAGCGTGTATCATGGGTTGATGAAGGGGCTTCTGAGGCTGAGAAGGGCGGGTGAGGCGACTCAGGTGTTTAGGGAGATGATTAGGAGAGGTTGTGAACCGACTATGCACACCTATGTGATGCTGCTGCAAGGGCATTTGGGAAGGAGGGGGAGGAAGGGGCCTGATCCGCTTGTTAATTTTGACACTATTTTTGTTGGGGGTATGGTGAAGGCAGGGAGGTCGAGGGAAGCTAATAAGTATGTGGAGAGGGTGATGAACAGGGGAATGGAGGTGCCGAGGTTTGATTACAATAAGTTTTTGCACTACTTTTCAAATGAGGAAGGTGTGCATATGTTTGAGGAGGTGGGGAAGAAGTTGAGAGAGGTGGGGTTGGTTGATTTGGCAGACATACTTGAGAGATATGGGCAGAAGATGGCTACTAGAGATAGAAGAAGGAATAGAACTCCAATAACTCAAGATACTCAGGCTGTGTAAATCTATAGACTGTGTAAGTTTACGTCAAAAACCAGAGTTTATTGGAAATGAAGCAGGAGATTGATGAAATCTCCCAACATTTTTAAACCTGGCAACAGTGGAGAAGTCTGGCCATGCAAGGACACATGATTCATGTGCCATTTATTGTTTCTGAGGATCATTTGCATACTTTCTTTGTTGTTGTTATTCTTTTATTTTGTTTATGAGACATCTACCGTGTTTCCGAGATAAATACATTTGCATATAGTTGTATTATTCCGTATCAAACAAAATGAAGGTGTTTTAGTTATTGTCTCCAGCAAAATTGTCATTTTTGTGTCTAAGAAATAGTTCTTGGAAACTGAGGTCGGATATGGTATAGCACTTGTCTCTTATCTTTTTAACTTTTGTGGCCCTTTTACTTATATGCTAAAAATTTGGGCTTCCAGCTTCATGAGCATCGTGGCTCATCTTCATTTCCTGAAGCATATTTTCAGATAGCATTTGCTGTAATTGTTTATTACATTAACTGGATATTGGATTATTGGTTCTTATTGATAACATGTTACTGCCAGAATTTCAAAGATTGATGAAAAAGGGAAAAAAATAGAGGGAACATTAGAAAATATATTGCATGAATGAGACTCTAAGTAATTGTTATGTATAACACTGTCCTTATACCCCTATTTATATTAATAATTTAGTCAGGTATTAGCGTAGCACAGCTAGTACATGCATTTAGAGGAATCAGGTTCAGAAGAGCTAATAATTTTTGCTGTTTGTTTCAGGACATTATAAATCTTAACAAGGTTGATTTGGTATCTGCAGAGAGATCTGGAGCTCTGGAGGAACTTCAGGAGGAAATACATAGCATTAACTCTCTTGCAGAAATAATTCATTCTGTCCGATGTCAAGTTGACTTGTCTAAGATATTGAACCGCCAAGCTTATGATACTGCAGTAAATTATACCGTTGTTGTCTCTCTTTTCAGCGTGCCACACATTTAGATCCATTGTTAGAAGAAAGTCGTTCTTTGTCTACCAAAAAGGTTCATGATAGCGGCATGAGAACCATATGCATTTGTGAGACAAAGACGATTGATATTATTAATAAGGTATATATACATACATATATGCGTGAGACATGTCAAATGAGAAGATTTTTTGTTGTGTGTGTGAGTGAGAGGAACAAATATTGACCATTAAACCTTATCATGAGTGATTAAGTTTAAATTATAAAAATCATGTATTTTTTGCGATTATCATGTTACAAACTATTAATCTCAATCGTCCATGTATTGATGGTGAAGATTTGATGCACTAGATAGATCCTCGCACATATATAGTTTTCCTTTTTTCTATAGCTTCTAGTTGAGTATCATCATATTTATTCTAAAATTAGTAGTTGCGTTATGTTCTTGTTTGTAATAGCATAAATTTAGAAAATAACCGTTTATTTTACAAAGTTATCTCAAAAAGCTAGTAAAGTTAAGAGATTATTTCTTCAAAGTGGAAAACTGATCAAAACAATGTTTCCCTCTTTATTTGTCAACTAGCCCCATCGAATTCTTCCAGGCATAAATTATGCAGCTGGTGTAGTCATTTTTGCTTCACTTAATCTTTAGTCCGTGTTCGTTTCTGTAATGCAACTGTGAAAATTGTCTTTTGTTGAATTCACTTTTTTTCAAGTCAGTGTTTTGGATAAACCTTTATGTGTCTAGTATTTATATTTTTGTATATTGTTTACAATCGTGACAGACTCGAACGTGGCTAGAGGAGATTCTCTGGGAGAAGAAATGTGATATGGATGTTTACCGATGCAAAGGAGTGTTAAGTGTTCAAAATTCTGATCAACTGCATACATTGCAGGTAAATTATACTTGACACCATTAAGATTTTTCCACTGGTTTTCTTGTGCTGCTACAATGTGTAAGATTTGGGCATTTAAAATTTTGTTTATATTTTATAACTAAGTGTACCATTTCATTCTCAATTACTGTTTGATACAATATTTAGTATATAAAACACCACTTCCATGTTTTAAACTGACAATTAAACTTTGACACATCACCAACTACCAATCTAGGATGCCATCTACCTCAATCCCTTATTTGTAGATTCTGCAAAAGTTAACTCACTTATTGTTCTGGTCTGGTACCAACTACTAATGCAGGTTGATTTTAATTTGTCATAGTATTAAGGAAAGTTTCACATCCAAAACTAAATTGCTAACTCCTGGATTTACATATTTGAGTTTGAAAGAGAAAAAAAAAGCATCATTGTGAGAGAAAAATAAGGTGAATTTAATATATATTTTGCAGTTGTCTAGATTCTGAAACACCAGATCCTAACCTGATAAGAGGGTTTGTATTGTTCATAACTGCCTTTGAAGATTTGATAATTAATTTATTTAATATCATCATAGACTTGTATCTGATATTTTGATTATGAGATGGTTATGCAGAATTTGGCATGGTAATGGAGTTACTTTGTCTAATTGGTTCTATTTGTTTGTTTATTTATTTATGATGTATTATTGTGAAATAATTTATTAATGAAAATGTTGCAGGCAGTGAGAGAAGTATATGAGATTGTTCCAGCTCGGATGTTGTGAAAAGGAAGAGAAGCGCATAAATAAGATAGTCTTTTTGGTAAGTTGATGAACTTTTAATTCGAGGAGTGAGAAAAGGCCTTCTTCGACTTGTTAACATATTCATTTGTTTTGTGATTGACAGGTCATAATCTGAAAGAAGATATCTAATAAACTCCTTTAGAGATCGTGCAACCTGCCAAGCTGTATTTGCTCCCTTTCTGTAGGTAATAGTTCAATAATCAATTGTTTGCTAATGATTTTTAGTTTCAACTAAATTAGTGTTTTTGGATCTTAGGACTGTTTTAAATCGTAGACCAGGTTCTAAAGTGTCATCTTGCTCTCTATTCATAAAGAGTTTTAGTTAACTAATATTCATCCAGACTTGTAGGAGAAATTCACAATAACTAATAGACCTTAAGAAAATGCTTCTCTTTATTTTCTTTTTTAAATTACGATGCATCTTTAACCTCAACTCACATTTTTAGCTCAGTCTTGATTGATGCAATGCAGCTTTGGCTTAGCTTCAATTGGAGCATCTTTGACTCGGCCTCAGTTGGAATATCTTTAGGTTTGTATTGGCCAGTCTATCTTTAACTAGTGTGTTACGAAGAATTTTTTAGAATAATAAATTTGGACTTGTATCTGTGGGCTTGGCGCTGGCGCAATAACATGATTTTGGATTCTTCTTGTTGGTTAGTGAACTATGTAGTCAGGTGTATCTATTTGGATGCTTTGAATCTTCATTTGTCACTCTCTTCCGATTTTCATCTCACACCTACCCTATTTCCTCTTGACTTGTCTACTGTTCACTTGAATGTTGATGGTTGTTGGTTCTCTGATCAATCTCGTCTGGGCTTTGGTGGTCTGATCCGGGACGTATCAGGTCATTGGTTAGCTGGTTTCTCCGGCAATTTTTCACATGGTGATCCTTCTTTAACTGAATTATTGGCTATTCTGGAAGGTCTCAAGATCGCATGGCATATGGGATTTAAAACTGTTCAATGTATGATTGACTCCATGGATATCGTGCAGTCTCTTCTTCATAGAGATCAAGCTTACCTACACTCTCATGCTTCTTATCTCTTTGATATTTTCTCCTTGGTGGACAAACCTTGGACGATGAACTTCCTTTGGATTGATAGAGACCGTAATTGTAGTGCGGATGCCTTGGCAAAGCTGGGGGCCTTGTCCTCCCCTGTGTTTGAGTATTGGACGAGTCCTCCTCCATTTGTACTCAAGTGGCTTCTGTTAGATGTAGTTTCTTAGTTTTCTTTCTTGTTTTTTTTTGTTCCCCTCACCAAAAAAAAATAATATAATAAGGTTAATATATAATTATGTATCGTGGTGATTTTTTATTGTCCGACCCCAAAAGGACTTTGACAAAATGCTGAATTAATATAGACTCTTAGCATCATAATGATCAAATCTAAAGGATTCTGTACCGCAATGTTAACTATTAACAATTTAAGCTCAAGTTAGCTGTTATAGTGAAAATTAACGAATATTCTTATAAATCATATATATTACAAGATTTTACTATAAAAAAAAACTAAAAACTCAAACTAAATTTTTTACATTAAACATGCTCTAATTATATAACAAATTAATCAATAGAGTATCAAAGACATAATCGGAGATTATAGTGATTCAATTTAAAGTAAATATTGGCTGCCAAAGCCAATATTTAGTCATGCATAACCAAAGCCAATAAAAAAAAGGAGACATTATTGTTTAGGAGAAAGTTTAGGCTTTTTTACATGTATAATTTTTTTTTTAAGAAATACTCAAAATGGGTAGATTTTAAATTTCTTTCCAAAAATATATAATTTGTGTTTCTGAAACATCACTTTCAATGAAAGTCACGAAAGTTGTGTTTTACAACTTTACTATTTTAATTTTTCTTTCTTCTAACAAAAATCATGATTTCAAACATTACTTTCATAATTAATTTTTTTTTTTAAATTGGGAAGTCGAATTTCCAATTGAAATTCAAACACTACTTTTCATTTCATGATTATCCAAGCTATCAGCCTTGTTAAGACTCTAAATCAAAATACACTCGTTCCTATCCTTCAAATTCCAAAAGTCAATATTTCTCCTTCTAATTCTCTGTTCAATGAAATTATGTTACAAACTTACAATACAACTTATATTAAATAAAATTTAATATGATATGAGATACTATTTAATCGATCATATTTATCTAGAATAAGTGACTTTTGTGAAGATTATTTCAAGATCACAAGGTAATAAAAGAAAATTGTTTGTTAAACATCAAGAAACAACAATAAAGGATGTGGAGCATATATCATATTATATAATGACACATATAATAACAATTTTGACCACCATTATGATAATTCTATAAATGATGTATCGAGAGTTAATATATCATTGTCAACTTCAAGCGAACCTTTGTGAAATATATTTGAGAACACTTTAAATGCGATAATTAACAAAAATTAGTTATTATTTTAATTATATAATTTTAATATTTTAATTAACATAATTATGTTACGTGGTTAGTAAATTTTATATATCATTTTAAATAAAATATAATTTATTTCTATTTCTATTTTTTATTTAGTAAATTTTCACAATAATAATCTTTTTTTTATAATTTTAATGAATAATTTGTAAATAATATCATTATAAATTAATAAATAAGTTATTAATAAAACATATTGATTTAAATTTTTTTATGGAACCCTTTGAATACAACGTTGAAGAGTTGTTACTTGAGTATAAATTTTATGTTTAAAGTTGTGTCGAATATATATATATATATATATATATATATATATATATATATTTGTGATGAAAAAAAGAAATGAAATTGATATGTAGACACTAAACATGATTAATTTTATGATAGAATAGAATTCCAACACGAAAGTGAATGGTGAGTATGAAGTCTGACTCT